GGCAGTACCCCGGGGGACATAGACCCTATCAGCAGTAGTGACCTTCGCAATTACAAGAACCCACATAACTTCATGAATAAGCTCGAAACATGCCGTCTTCGAATAATCGACTGATTGGTGTACATTTATCGATAGTATAATCGACGATCAATGTTAGATGCTGAATTTAATCATTATTAAACTGGAGTTATTCTCACACGATGACACGACCCTCGTGATCTAGTAGTGTTAGTGCAGTAGTGGCTGTTTTACGATAAGCCTACCTCACCTGCAACGACCCCCTTCAAGGTTTTCTGTGATGGCATGTAATCCCGGACACCTGCAGCTCCGGTATCGGCCATCCAGGGTCGCCTAAAAGGAAGCTCATTACCTAGCTTCTTTCTAATATCCATTGTGCTATATGTAATCTATAATCTACATTTGTTAACAATAACACCTGACTTAAAAATACTCAAAGCACTTGTACCCAAAAGCCAGGGTGATTTAGCGATCAGTTGTTCGAGATGGGAGCTAACGCTAAGATGGCAGCGTGCATAAAGGCATCGCTGCGAGGTATCGCGGAGTGGTTCCAGACTATGGCAGCGCCGACACTGCCGCACCGAAGCTGCGTGCACACAAGCTGTGTAGCAAATAGGAAATTATTGTGCCTACCAATAATAAAATGGTTAGGATGCATCATACATGGGGGTGTTAATTTTTTTAAGTTTTTGAAGTGCTTTTTTTTTCTTTTTTTTTAGAAAATCAAAGGGAATATAGCAGGAGTAGATAATAGGGTTGCCTATTATCTACTCCTGATATATAGATATTATCAGGAGTGAATAGTAATAGATTATAATAATTATTATAAATATTATACTATTATAATAATAATCTATTATTGTTCACTCCTGATATTATATATACATGGAGTGTATAGATATCATAAAGATATCATATATACACCAGGTGTACTATGTATTATATCAAGAGCTAATAAATACCTTGGGTGTACTATGTCTGGGGGGGCGTGATTGCTGATGAAATACAGATACGTAGCCTAAAATCTTGAACACATGTAGGTATATAGAAGTCTATGCAGGCGTTCATGCTATCACAGACACTGTATTATGAGACATCTTTGGCATGACAGTATTTGGCATCAAACATTTATATATTATATATTTATTTCAACGGTGATTAAAGGCAAGTGAGATATGAATAGGGGAAGACCAAGGATAGTTGGCAATGCAGGCACACCAGGAAGAATAACTAGAGCTCCACAATGAAGGAGGAAGAGAGGAAGAAGAAGGAGGAGGATGAGAAAAAGAAGAAGATAAAGAAGAAGAAGAAGAAGAAGAAGAAGAAGAAGAAGAAGAAGAAGAAGAAGACGAAGAGCATAAGTGTAAGATATGCATTTGGTTAACACAATTTATTTCCCTAAAATATTATTTGATTACTTTACTCTACTTTATTTACTTTACTTACGAAAGAAATTATCAATTGGCATTACTCTGTCTTGGTTTATTGTTTCTTATCGAACTCTGGTCGTAGCATAAGTTCTTCTTGTCCATGTGCAAATCTACACTGAGCAGATGACAAGGGGCAGCCATCTGGGTGACCAATGTGGAACCAGCACAGCTTAGTTTTATATAACAGTGGCAAATCACAGATGGAGCCACAGCACTTCTGTTTTTTCTTTCGCCTAGTAGGTTCTGTAGTGGAGACGCTCAGGCCACGGCTGAATCTCACATTAGACTCACGCACTGTAACAAAATACAAGATATAACATACAATACCATGATTGATGTGCAGGGAATTTTATAGTGACTTTAATATATACGCTAAATAACAACAAGTATATATATATATATATATATGTTTATATGTGCTTTTAGTGCATTACGAGTCTCTCTTAAGCGCTTCAGAAATGGTATACGTACTATCAGGAGTAAATAAAAACAAGTTGTCTTCAGATATATATGTTATAATAATAACAATTGTTTTTATTCCCTCCTGATATCTCTCTTATTTGGTGTTACGAAATGTTATAGTTATTTTATGCATATCGCACATGTATCGTGTCACATGTGTTACAAAATTTTATGAATATTGTACACGTGTTATGCGTGTGGACGTATATTTGTGTCCTAATTTCAAATCGTCGTTTGTTTCCGCGGCTTTCCAGCATCGCATATCTACCATCATGAACTTCGACTACGTCGTAGTTCTCGACGTTGCCCACCAGGAGGACGGGCAGGCGGGCGCCGGCGAGATCGTTGAACAGGGGGAGCCACATGAGCTCATGCAGCACGAGGACAGCCTGTTCTACAAGCTCAGCAAGGAGCAGCACAGCTGACACCTGTCGACAGTATTAGCAAACATTAATAGCGTTCGCACGTGCGTGGGGATCTTGTACATATCACATTCGTTGGCCTTATCCCAGACTCTCACCACGTTACTACTCGTGTGTAAGCTCAATCCACAGTGCTATATGTTAGTGACCAGCCAGTATGTGTGTGTTTAAGCACAGTGGTGTCAAGTGAACAAGCGTTGGGTCCAGAACAGTGTCAGGTGTTGTGGGAACAGTGTGTGTTTAAGAACAGTGCAGTTAAGTGAACAAGCGATGGGTCAGGAACAACATGTGTTGTGTGAACAGCGAACAGTGGATTAGATCCTCTCAATATTTCCAGTCGAGTTTGTGTGACTTAAGATCTGAGATGTCTGTTTGATGCACGCGAAAACATGGCTGTAGAGTACACTGGTTACAAGCGAGAACTAAGCAGATCGTGCTAGGAATGTAATTTAATGAAAATTTTAATTTAATTAGAATGGAATGTTAATTTTCTAGGCGTATCATGGAAAACTTTTCAATTGTTATTACAGGGATGGAAGAGCGTCTTTGGAAAACGCTTTCTGTAGAAAGCCACCAAAATTTTTGCTTTATTATCGGCGAAACAGTGGATTAGATCCTCTCAATATTTCCAGTCGAGTTTGTGTGACTTAGGATCTGAGATGTCTGTTTGATGCATGCAAAAACATGGCTGTAGAGTACTCTGGTTACAAGCGAAGAACTAAGCAGATCGTGCTAGTAATGTAATTTAATGAACATTTTAATTTAATTAGAGTGGAATGTTAATTTTCTAGGCGTATCATGAAAAACTTTTCAATTGTTATTACAGGGATGGAAGAGCGGCTTTGGAAAACGCTTTCTATAGAAAGCCACCAACATTTTTGCATTATTATCGGCGAAGCTCTAGTTATTTCAATGCTTGATAATCATGTACATACGGCATGGAACGTCTAGGTGTGACAGTTTGCCAATGACGACATAGACACGGGGCGTGCGCGTGTGTGAACACGTGTTCATTGGCAACATTGGCCGTCTGCTGTGATACGAATAGCAACCATTCGAGCAAGAAATCTTTACATTTTTGACCTCCTGCGTTTGTAGGCTTCTAGATCATGTGACAGCGAGCAGGACTGAATTGATTACGCCTGCCCCTCACAACCCTGTGTTCACAGAGTTTCACTAAATGTACCATGGTGTATATTCGTGGGGAGGTAGAGTGGTTCGCGTTAAACTCCCACTTATCTTGGGCGATCTGTCTGCATAAAGCAATGGCGCCAATATTGGTAACGGTGTTGTTAAATGTTGATTCCTACTCGTAATTCTACTCGTGTAGTTGACACTTTTATTGGGACGTACTAGTAGATTCAGGTGATTCTGCTAGTGGTCATCGTGTTAAAAAACGTGTAATTTACAGTGTGTGTGTGTGTGTGTGTGTGTTAGCAGCTCTCAGCTCTGTGCTGCTGATGCTCCAGTTACGTATGCGATGTGTCCTGGTTGTACATGCAGTTATCACTGCCTGTGTGGACAATTCTGATTGTGATGTCGTGGCTTGAAAGCTTTCACTGCCTTGTTGCTATTTCTCGTCAAAACGCCAAGTCTATGCTTCGAGTGTATTATCTGTTTTAAGTGTCCATCTCTTATTATAAATACTCTCTATTGAAGAAATCTCCTAGAAAGCGGATCTCCAGTGGCTTAGAATCTCTGTGCGGTGTGAGAAATCCATCCATCTTGTGATTTTTGCCTTGTGTCTTATATTTGAAAAAAGGTGTTGGACGTTTGTATTTGTTATATTGACCCTGACGTGTGGCTGCATTGCCAGGGCTTATATATATTTTGGATACATGGAATAAGTAATGTATAGGTGTACTTACTGCATTTAAAGCTTGTATTTTGCTGTCAGAATGACAAAACTGGTGAAGTGTCTCCAGATATCATTGCAGCAATGTAGAAAGAAGCTCGCGATAGCTCGGGAACGATGTTGCTATATAGGCGCATGCGTTTTTGAGGTAAAATTAAAGATGATCGGCACGAGAATGTGTTTTTTTATTACATGTATTACAATTCTCATCACTGTGGCTGTGCCTTTGTTTATCTAGATTGAGCGATCCCTCGTGTATGGGCACATATGATTACCTAGTATAAAATAAATATATATGGTGTGCCTTTAATACGAGCAAAGATCGCATGTAGTTGTTTGTATACGGTCTTTGATACCACTTTCAGTGCGGAATCTGCGCTGAAATATATAAAGTGACTGTAAATTTATATTATTTCACGGTGCATACTGTGAAACTTGATATTATATGGATCTAGAGTGGATATATGTCCTCACGTTGAAAAGGAGAAGGAAAGTGTGTAACGTTTTGTACATTGAAGAATTTTGTAAATATATGCTTTTGTTTTACTTCTCAATTCCTTTTTGATATTTTTTATGTTTTCCTAATCACAATTTATTCTGTCATAGTGCTTTACGACACTGAAATATCTATGAAGTGGTGATGGTTTATAAGCACGTGCAAGTTATCTAATAAGGATATATGTATTGGTAAAGTACGTGTGAAGGAGAACAACTAGTTGGGTGTAGATGATGTAAAGGGGGGAGTGTGTAGAAGGCATGGGAACAAGTCAGTGTAGGAGGGTGGGGCCTACGACCAAAAGGACGAGCAGAATAGAATGTAGAGCATGGGGAGCTGTAGAAGAAGTGGAGGAACGCTGTGATAGCATTAATTAATAGGCTTAGCTCTAGTTATACGGCGAGCAAATGAAAAGAAGAGAGATAAAGGAAGAACAGAAGTGTAATGAGAGAGCACATTCATTGGCTTCATATTGCAAAAGAATTTTGATTACATATGTCGTTAAGCCAATTATTAATTCTCCAGTCAACTGTTTTACGAAAATTGTTAATCAAATTTTAACGAGTTAATTATATTACTGATTATGCTGTCAGTGATCAGCAGCACATGTCAACTGTTCCATCTTGGGGAGATGATGACGATGGCAAATAAACAAGCACTGGTGGTGGCGCCACTGGTCAACAGCCATGTCTGCAAAGCTTTTGCATAATGTGGGGAATCTATCTATTCACAGTTTAGTATTTTAGTGAAATCTGTTGCTTTTACTCACGTTTGAAATGTGTTTTTAGTGCAGGATACAACCTGAGATAGGATTCTCATAGTTGGAGGTAAGAAATGGCACTGTCTTTATCTTTATAGTAAACGTAAACGACCATGATCGAGCTGCACCGATACGGCGATAGCGACACTGTGACTGTCGAAGTGTTGCTGTTTGTGTTAGTGACACTGTGTCTGTGTGTACAGTGTGCTATACCTGCTACACCTAGTTTTTTCGTGATGTTCTAATGAATAATCGTGCAAATACGCCGTGCTAACGATAGTTTTTTGTTTGTTTGACTCTGTCTTTTACTGAATATGACACTAACCATGGCGTAGTAACGCGACAGATTTGTTTATGAAATCATCTACCTGATCATGATCATGTCATATATGATCATATATAATAAAATAATTCATATCATCATCTTAATCACCATATGATTCGCTAGATATATATACAGTATGTTAGTAATTATGGACACACATGCACGCTTCAAATGACAAACCAAAGTATTCACATATCATATTTATGCCATAGCACTAGCAGTTTCAGTTGGAAATGTCCAAATGTATCTCAGGTTCAGTGCAGCTGAGAGGGTCTATGGCCCCCAGGGTACTGCCGGAACGTACCCTGGTACTATCTAATATGCCGGACCGTACCTCGCCTACTCCACTAACGAGTCTAGGGAGTCGCCTACGCCTACTCCCTAACCCTAACCCTAACTCTGACCCTAACCATATCAGATAGTTACCAGGGTACGTTCCGGCAGTACCCTAGGGGACATAGACCCTATGAGCATAAGTGCATGTATGATGTCCATTGCATCACAATGTAATCCCAGTCTAGTCAGTGGAGTATGATTACAACTAGTCCGAGATTCCTCTGACCAATGCCCACACCGACGATTTTGGTGGTTTTGGTGTGGGCTAGGGTGTAACCCACACCAAATCCACCAAAATCGTCGGTGTGGGCATTGGTCAGAGGAATCTCGGACTAGATTACAACGTATATTTATTCGCAGTGACTACCTGGCACTGTGCCATCTAAACTATCGGAAATGTTGTGGATTATACATTTTCAGGTTGTGAATGAAGGTATTATACGCAAACCAGTTCTTTGAATCACAACTTAAAACATTTCTCGAAGAATTTAACTGCAAACATTCGGTCCCACCCCTCGTTATGAGAATGCCTGCATCACTGATGAAGAATCTTATGATGAACATATATATATATATATATATATAAAGTTGTTCAGCCGAATTAGTCCGTACTCGCATAACTAGAGAACTCCGCAGCCTAGAGGAAAACTAAAGATATTTTCAGGATCAGCACATCTGGGAGGTGGTTCTGGCTGAAACAAAAATTTAGAAAAGTTAAAAAGTTAAAAATTGATGAAAAATTCTATTCATCAATAGATGGCGGTGCGTACAGATTAACATCACGTACGTGTGAATCCATGGTCTATACACCTAACGGCGCAGTGGCCTAATCACTAGAACATCCGTATCCTACACCGGGATTCCGGGTTCGAGTCCCAGCTGGGGAACATATTTTCCCCTTTTTCCCTTTACCTACTACTTCTTTCGTATGTATTATTTTTAATTTTTTACTTTTTACTTTTTATTTTTTATTTTTAATGTCTTTTATCTTTTTGATTCTTATTATTTTTCACTGTTTGGGATGGGATGGCATGGCATGGGATGGCATGGAATAGGATGGATGGATGCATGGTTGGATGCATGGATAGATAGATAGTTAGATTTTTTGGGTATTTTCTTTTTAACCAAGCGGTCACCAACTGAGTAACGCCACTGATTTCCCCGAGCAACGCCGGGTATCCCGCTAGTATATATGTATAGATATTGATAAAAAATTGGCTGTAAGCGTTGTATCGTATGTTGCAGCATATATTCTTGGGTTCAGTTTCAGCACTGTCGATGTTTGTATTCGGTTTCAAAATGTGCGCAGGGATTTGATTTTATGTTGATATCGACTCTAACCAGGATGAAACTTCCAGGTAGTTACGGATCCATTAGTTAACAAATGTAGTTCAGTTTCGCTATGTACACCAATATGACTTGTGTCCAACGAGCTCACACCAACTTTAAGACTCTGGATTATAATTGGGACTTAGGATTAGGTTTAAGGTTTGGTTAGCGTTAAGGTTAGAGTTGCTGTGATGACGATAGTTACCCAGGGTTCTTCCCAGGCCTTTAACTCATGTTGTGTCCGGCGTGCATGCAAAGTTGAAGTGAATTAGTGACATACGATAAATCCCCCTCGACACGACTCGATCGCCTAATCAACGCGCCTTAATTTCCAGCCGTGTTTACTTTTGACAATCCCAAACACCGTTAAATAGCTGCATTTTAGCTGCGTTTAGGATGTGTACGTATGTAAACCGATAATAAGGGTTTACCTGCGTATTGGAACCACTTACAGCATCCGTAATTTACTTTGCTTAGTGATCGGCATTGCAAGGAATTGCCCAATTGCATGATTGCTCGACATGCCTACTGAAATTGCTGGGGAGAACCCTGTTATATCGGATGATTAGTACCGGGCTCCCAAAGTAGGAGTGAGCTTTTTAGTTTAAGTGTAGATGCCACTGACCAAGTGTCCAGACGTGGACATAGTGTGTGGAAGTGCAGCTACCCCACCGGTAGCTCTAGTACTATAGCCGTTGTTCGCCACATGCCTGTATCAGGGTGCGAAATTACTGTCGGACTCCCTGATTTAACATATGCATGAGTCCGTGTGACTACCTGAAAATTCTGCTATACTAACTAGTTCGTTCCAGAGCACGTCCTCGTGGAATTACCATATATTTTTTTAGCAATATATGTGTCCCAAGAAAATTTATGTCCTTTTTGTAAATATCTTTAGTTTTGAACTTCAGACTGCGGACTCTCTCATTTTGCTGCGAACTCCCTTTTTTTGAGGGTGTCCATTGGACTCGCTTGTTCAAAAGTTAATTTCTACTCAGGCTGCTGTATAGTACTAGTAGAGCTACCCCACTGTTACCTCACCGTTAGCAGAGTTTTCGTTATCGCCCCGCAGTGCGATGGCAACTAACAACACAGTGGTGGAGATGGATGAGTCCGTGGAGAGCTTCGGCGACAGCGACGGCGGCGATGGCGACACAATCAACGGCTCGTCGTTGTCAACGACGTCGGAGCTTCGCGTCGACCGATACGGCTTCACGGGAGGCAAGCAGTACTCCGCAACCGAGTGAGCACAACTTACGCTTATATTTACAGGGTTTCTTCCGAGGGAAAATTAGACAAAGGGGGTAATGGCCAGTTTGGGGAAAAAACGCGCATTATGGATTCAAATACAGGATGTATTGATATACTTATAGGTTTATAGATACAGGATATATACTTATCAGTAAATACAGGAACATTTTCACAACGGCGATGTTAAATTTGACAACGGCGGTGCGCCACTGTGCCTCCTATGTATAAGAAACCCTGATTTACATGTCCCGTGGATTTTTCAAATTCTGCCGTGTTTCGTATGTTTCTGTGTTTTGTTTTTGTTAACTTGTGGGAACATTCGCGCGCGCAGTACGCACGGACGCGCACTCACGCACGCACACACGTGCACACACACACATGCACACGTGCACACACACACACACACACACACACACGCACGGCACACACGCACACGTTTTCATTAGCCACATGTCTGTTCATTTCTGTATCTTCTTACCAGAAGGAAAGCTTTGTTAAAGCCTTCAAAATTGACCGGTCAACGCTTTCAAGGTTTTATGGGAACTGTCCTGATTGTGTTTTAATAAGGAATGGGTTGTTAAGTACTAAAGTAGTAAAATAAATAGTTAATACACCCTTTAATTGAATGTGTTTGCTCTTCAGCAGACATCAAACTGTTGAATTACCGCTCCACCGCCATTTGTACGTTAATCTTTTGAATTGAGCCTTTGTTGTAGATTTGATTCAAAGAATTGTGATGTTGCAACCACGAGATGTTAATGTAATGTCCGACGTCAATCCGTAGACTTTCCGCCGTCAGCTGACTGAATAATTTCGCTTCGATTATTAGTAATGGTGGCGCCGAATGGCGTGGCTGGATACGTGTAGGCCACCAGAGCAGTGAAGGCATCCAGACAAGCAGACTGTGTAGTGCAGAAGTGACTCGATTAGCCTCGGGGCAGCACTGTACAAAGTTCTGAATTATTAATACGTCGGCGAGCGTTGTTCGCTGTTTTGCCGAGAGCGTCTGCGCGCGAGTACGTCACGGCGTATAGCGGGCGGCTCAATGGATGGATGG